TGTCGGACTCCATCCCTGTTTAAGGTAGATTCCCTGCGTTGTCTATTGTTATGTTTCTTGTCAAGATTCCCAATCTCCACAAGTTGTTTTTACCCCCTTTTTATCTTGACTGGATCAGACTTTGACATTTTTCCACTCCGTAATTTATTATGTCTCTCCCCTACCTTTATTGAACGGGTTTCGTGATTCTGCTTACTAGCAGCATACAGCGGCCGCTCTTATTTTTCTGTGGGGTGGACGGGTCTTACTAACACAGTTTTGTTTTGTTTTATTTTAGTTTCGCTGTCCCTTCTCCCTTCATTTCATATATAAATTTTTGTCCTCTTTTTGTAAGAAAATTAAAAAAGAAAAAAGAGACATTTGTACATATTTTGAAGTTTTTTTACGCCATGTGTATTTTAGTAGGATCCCTGTGAGTATGTGGTATATGTTGGATTGAGTGGAGAGGGTGGGTTCTTGTGGTGATTGAATCAGTTGTTAGGGAGTGGACCGTGATACAGATTAGCTAGGTGTAGGGTAGTCAGTGACAACCAGCCTTTCTAACTTCCATTTCGGCCTTGTGCCAAAAAAATGTATTTTATACATTTTAAATAAACAATAAGGCCACCAACACTATCAAGTTATAATAAAGGACAGAGGAAATATATTTTTCCTACATAACCTCATAAACGGAATTTTTTTGCCTTTTCTTTTACTCATGCAATACTACAACATAACCCTCTACCTTGAGTGTTTCATGAGCCTTATATGAGGTGACCATAAGTAAAGAAAAAGGCAGAATCATGAAAGAAATATTGGTATAAAAATCAATTATGAAATAAATTAATGATGAGCATTATGCGAAGACTAAGCTGCCACCTAAAGAGGAAAGATGGCTTGGAATATTTGATGCTCACAAGACAGATTAAAGGCAAGAGGAAGAGAGGGAAACAACGCATAACCGCCCTAGCGTGTTTAAGTAAATGGATGGGGGAACAAGTTTTGGGAGAGAAAAAAAGAGACAATTTATTAAGAGCTACAAAGAACAGGAGAAATTGTGGAGAGCCATGATCCCGCCCGTTCCGAAGGGACACATCACATAGAAGAAGAATCTGCTAAAAAATCAGAAATCTACAGTTCGACACGAATATTCTTCATAGCTTTTTGTGTGCAAAAATTAGTATTTAAGTTACAATACATAGTGTTTAAATTTTCACGATTACGTTTAATATAAAACATTGCAATGCAAGTAGACTAAAAAATTGTTAGAATTCTCGAATACATAATAAAATGAAGAATTTCGGAAGTCTAATCTTACTTTTTTCTTTTATTATTTGCTTGTGTGTTCCTGTATTTGCTTGTGTGACGTCAATAGTAAACTTGTTTCAGATTTGAGAAATGCTTATAAATTAAGTACTTGTTATTTTCTGAGCGCAGGTTAGATGTGGCACAAGGACGAATGTCTAGGGTACATGTGAGTATCGAACTCACTATTCAGTCGTAATGGGTCTAGCGAGACATGTTTGCTAACCATTACACCACATCCAATTGCTCAAAATTGTTTATAAAGCTGTGACGTAGATGTGGCACAAGACCGGAATGATGGAGCACCCAATTAGGATTGAACTCACTATTCATTCGTAACAAGCTTGTCAACCATTATCTTACGTCAAAATTCACTGACTTTGCTTATGAATTTCTTTTAAATATTTGCTTAATTTTTTGATCGTTAGATTTATACAAAAACGATCTTATCCACATTGCTGTCTCTTTTTTACACGAAATGCAACAAGTGTTTAAATTGTGTAGCTTCTATATAAAAATCTATTCTCATAGTTGTCTTTTTTTTTAGAAAGTTACATAGTTTCCATATAAAAATCCTATATTCACCTCTATTTTATTTTTAATAAAAACGTAATAAGCATTTTTAAATATTACATACGTTCCATGTGTGTAAAACTGGATACAGAATCTAGAAAAAATTTGAATATCAAAAATGGAAAACCATTTCATTGAAACTAGATTACGCGTTTCGACCTTACTAGGCTTCATCAGATCAAAAACGAAACAAAGAAATATATATGCGTATTTGTGTGTAGGTTTAAATAATAAATCATTAGTATATTTTCCACTGATTTGGTGTTTCTCGTGATGAAACTGGGTGACATTTGTAAGAAAAGCCGTTGAGATTTATTCTGTATCTTTTCTTTACAATTTTCACGTTCTTGCTGAAATTTATTCATACATTCTGCCAGCTTTTTTTTCGCATTGAATTTTATCATTCACTTTATTGATTTATTATTTAAGCATACACACGCATATTTATTTATTTCTGATCAGATGAAGCCTAGTAAGTGTGAAACGCGTAATTTAGTTTCCATGGATCGGTTTTCTATTTGTCATAGGTTCCACATATAAAAACATTATTCACTGTTTTTTAAAAATAAAATATATGATTTTTTTTTTAAATTGTGTAGATTCCATATCAAAATTAATTTTCAAAATGTGAAAACTTTTTTGCAGAATATAAACGATTTGGGCGAAATATATAAAGAAGCTCGAAAAATAGAGAATAACATTAAGAAAAGAAAGAAATGGCGAAATGAATGATTACCACAATCTTTATAAAGATGAAAAAATGATTTACTATCAATACGAATTAGGTGTTAAAGAAAATAAAACATAAAACTGTAAAAGAAAATTTGAAAGCGGTTCACTACTTCAGAGGTTGAGACATCTTTTTCTAAATTATATATATAAAGGTTTCAAAAATCGTCTTCCGTGCATGGGTAATGTAGACAGCGAGGATTTGTTCGTTTCTTTTGTTCTCCAAAAATATCTTCTTGGAAGCAGAAGACTTTTCTGTTGCTTTTGTTACAAATTACCTTATTTTGTGCGTCTTCAGAATGAAGTAGTTATCAACAATGTTGAACGGTGTAAGCGAAAATGGCCATCGCACGAATTTCACCGGAAGTTGTATCTTAGGCACGCGAACGGTTTTTCAGCCAATCAAGTTCTATGCTGAGTTTCTAAGATTCCGCTTTTGATTTCGCTTCGATCTTCCCTTTGCAGATTTGGTCCAAAAGGAAATTGTGAATAAAAACAGTATTTCGCGCCCATTTTCTAACTTTCTACTGGTCAGCATTTATGAGAATATAAAACAAGAGCTTTTAAATGTTTTATTTAAAATAGACTTTTAAATGAAGTATTTTTTTTTAATTTTTCAAGAACATTTTTATATAGTTTTATATTCTGTTGATAAGAATAAAGATTGTGGGGAGTGAAATTTTAATTTCTATCTTTATTTTTTTTTTTTATACCCACTTCTAAGATCCTGGCTAATACTTGATAAAGCGTCCTCAGGTTCCTGGCTAATACTTGATAAAGCGTCCTCAGGTTTCTTTTTCTTAGTTTGAAATAAATCCCCAAGTTATAATTGGACTTATTATGGTAATAATAGTCTACAGAAGTTACTCTTTTATATGCGGTCATCCTTCGAAACTTGGATGATTCTCTACAACTTCTTGTGTTTCGTAGATAAAACTTTTAAATATTTACTCTCTTTGTCCGTGTTCTACAATTCATACGCCAAAGCACACTCAGTGTTTCTATATGCTCCTCTTGTTTTCAATATCCCCTGTGAGTGTTAGATTCTTCAGGTCTTCTTTCTTCATTATGTGCTACTGAAGTTTCGACTGCATATACCTGATTTTCGTTTCTCAATTTTGATTGATTTTTTTACGGGTTATTATTGTGTTATATACAAATTTATCAGGCGAGTATTTCGTGAAAATCCATTGCTTGGTCAGCTGCTAATTTGATTCACTGTGTCGTGTGAGACAATTTTTCTCTCCAGAATCTTTCATACATATCTTTGTCTACCATTCGTTCATGCTTGGAATACTGCTGCCACACATAGTCCGCTGTCCCTGGTGTTTACCTTGATAAAATCCAAAGAAGAATCAGCAATATTATTGGTCCTTATCTGGCGTCTCGGCTTCAGTCACTTTCCCACCGCCGTATAGTTTGCCTATCTGGTTTTTCTACAAATATTTTCATGGTAATTATTCGAATGAGCTATTCGCTACGGTACCTAGATATTTTGATTTTAAGCGCCGTACTAGACTGGCATCGAGATCTCATCCGTAGCCGTAACTTCAAACTAACAGTTTATTTTGTTTCATTTCTTGCTTGTGGAACTATATTTCCAGATAAAGTTTAAATGCAACGTCAATCATTATCTATCCTCTTGATTACTCTTTCCATTTGCTGCTTATTATTGTTGTTTCTGTTCTTACTTCGGACACACCCAGTAACCCCTTCTGTTTTAGTGGCTTTACTGACTTTCTTGAGGTGGAAATCGATTTTTAAAAAAAAGCTGTACCCAAGGATAATACTGAACCTGTTTGTTTGTATTTTCTAATTTGCTGCAAAAAATGCTGGCTTGGGAAGTATGGCGAATGTAAGCTATTTAAGAAATTGAGTCTCGTTTTGAAGTCAATGTTTTGGTTTTGTACCAACTTACGTTGCTGGACAAAAGTACCATTAATAGCCTTTCTAATCCTTGTGCAAAACCTCCAACGTTCTTGTTTATGTTTTGTTTTTAATCACTTATTTCCATTTAAACAAAACAAAACTATTCTTACCCATCTTTTTGTTCTTGTTCTTACTCAGCTGTCTGTGTCTTTTCGATTCTTCCTCTAGCTTCTCATTAGTTGTACAATGGCGCCCTTCCCCTCCGCACAATATGCTTTCAAATCTTCAGTGTCTTTGATAAAGTGAATGAAAAGAAGGAAATGCGAAAAAGAACAAAAAGTATCAGCCTTCACCTCTTCCTTAACATCCGAAAATATTTCTTCGATCGCCATATTCGAAGACCAATTAAGAAAGTCGATATCATTAAAGGTAAAACTCTGCGCATGCGTGGGTGTAAAAAAAAGAAAAAAACAATGGCGCGGGTTTCTGAATTTCCGGTTATGATTGTGCAGGTTTCAAGTTTTACGTATGCATTTTCGAATAACGTAGAAAGAGAATAAAAGCGTGATAGATAGATAGATAGATAGATAGATAGATAGATAGATAGATAGATAAAGAGAAAAATGGAGAGATATGAGCAACTTGATATAAAGTTATATATAATATATAAAGATAGATATGAGCAGCTTGATATAAAGGTATATATAATATAGATAGATACACACATACATACATATATATGAACAGATTGATATAAAGACGTGTAATATATAAAGATAGATAGATAGATGGATATGATCAGATTGATATAAAGATATATATAAAATAGATACATACATATAAACAGATTGATATAAAGATATATGTAATATGTAAAGATAGATAGATAGATACCAACAGATTGATATATATCAATATAGATAGATACACACATACATATGAACTGATAGATATAAAGATATATGTAATATATAAAGATAGATAGATAGATAGATAGATAGATAGATAGATAGATAGATAGATAGATAGATAGATAGATAGATGCGAATAGACTGTGACAGATAATATGCAGAGCAGATGTAAAAACAATACGACGGGCTATATAAAACGAAGCTGAAAAACAGTCTACAAAACAATAAAAGTGTCAAAACGAAGGCCAAAATAAAATACAAAGGGAGGAAGGAAATGAATGTGGTGGAGAATTCGAGAGAGAAGACATAAATAACAGAGAAAAGCAAGGGTGCAAATGCGAAGAGACAATATACAGGAGGAAAGAGAATTTTGCAACAAGGAAAGGGAAAATTTTATTTTGGCAAAATGAATGAGAAAGAATTTTAATGGCGATGCGCCGGTATAAATATGGAACTGATAATTTCAAATGGAGGAGAAAAAAATTGCTTTTGTTTTTAAGATTAAATTTTTGTTTCATCCCAAATTAAGATGTTATTGATCAGATAAAGGTTGACGTGTGTACAAGTTCATGCATCTAAGATTACACCTAGATGGGTGCATGTTTATTGATTTAGAAACGCCTATATAAACATTTGAAACGTTTAAATAAACAAGGCCTCTGATCTGGAGATTAGAGCTTTTGAACCATTTCTTAATTTCTGTTCTTTCCATGTCTACCCTGACTCGGGGTGGTAGCAACTATTAGGGTCCCATCTATGGGTAAATAGTGAACGTCCAAACAAAAACTAAACTTTATGAAAGTATCAAATTACATTTTTATAGTAAAATGACCAGCAATATATTTTATATTAGATTTACCAACAATACATTTGATTGAAAAATGATCAACATTACATTTTATCTCTAGTTGAAGGCATACAATTGCGTTCAAAATACATTTAATATAATTGTTCAAAATATTTAGATTTCGACATTAAATAACACAAAGTGGTTGATATCCCAAAATCAACATAAAAGAACCCATACAATTCTTTACAATTTCTTAAATAAATCAAACTTTATTCCAAAATATAACTCCAACAAAACTACAGCATAAAACACACATATCAACGTATCTTTGTTGACACAAACATCCATATGCACAAAAGCTGAGTATTATCTACCATGTATTCAATCGTGAAAGCAGAATAACATGTATTATATTTTTATTACTTCAAAGCTCCCAAGTAAATTAAATGACCTATAAGGTGTTGGTATATCGTTAAGCAAACAAATTAATCAATTTTCCTCTCTTAAATAGTTTTCCTCTCTTTTTTTTTTATCTTCCTCTATTTCTTTCTTTCTTTCTTTCTTTCTTTCTTTCTTTCTTTCTTATGTTCTCCTCTCTTTTCTTTTACCTTCTTCTATTCTTTCTTTCTTTCTTTCTTTCTTATGTTCTCCTCTCTTTTCTTTTACCTTCTTCTATTCTTTCTTTCTTTCTTTCTTTCTTTCTTTCTTATGTTCTCCTCTCTTTTCTTTTATCTTCCTCTATTCTTTCTTTCTTTCTTTCTTTCTTTCTTTCTTTCTTTCTTATGTTCTTCTCTTTTCTTTTATCTTCCTCTATTCTTTCTTTCTTTTTTTTTATGTTCCTCTCTTTTTTTATCTTTCAATTTTTTTTTCTTTTCTTTCTTTTTTCTTATGTTCTCCTCTTTTCTTTTATCTTCCTCATTTTTTTTTCTTTCTTTCTTTCTTTCTTATGTTCTCCTCTCTTTTCTTTTATCTTCCTCAATTTTTTCTTTATGTTCTCCTCTATTTTTTACCTTTCTTTCTTTCTTTCTTTCTTTTTTCTTTCTTTCTTTCTTATGTTCTCCTCTCTTTTCTTTTATCTTCCTCTATTCTTTCTTTCTTTCTTTCTTTCTTTCTTTCTTATGTTCTCCTCTCTTTTCTTTTATCTTCCTCTATTCTTTCTTTCTTTCTTTCTTTCTTTCTTATGTTCTCCTCTCTTTTCTTTTACCTTCTTCTATTCTTTCTTTCTTTCTTTCTTTCTTATTTCTTCTCTTTTCTTTTTTCTTCTATTCTTTCTTTCTTTCTTTTTTTCTTATGTTCTCCTCTCTTTTCTTTTTATCTTCTCTATTCTTTCTTTCTTTCTTTCTTTCTTTCTTTCTTTCTTTTCTTTCTTATTTTCCTCTCTTTTCTTTTATCTTCCTCTATTCTTTCTTTCTTTCTTTCTTATGTTCTCCTCTCTTTTCTTTTATCTTCCTCAATTTTTTCTTTCTTTCTTTCTTTCTTATGTTCTCCTCTCTTTTCTTTTATCTTCCTCAATTTTTTCTTTCTTTCTTTCTTTCTTTCTTATGTTCTCCTCTCTTTTCTTTTATCTTCCTCAATTTTTTTCTTTCTTATGTTCTCCTCTCTTTTCTTTTACCTTCTTCTATTCTTTCTTTCTTTCTTTCTTTCTTTCTTTCTTTCTTATGTTCTCCTCTCTTTTCTTTTATCTTCCTCTATTCTTTCTTTCTTTCTTTCTTTCTTTCTTTCTTTCTTATTTCTCCTCTCTTTTCTTTTATCTTCCTCTATTCTTTCTTTCTTTCTTTCTTTCTTTCTTTCTTTTTCTTTCTTATGTTCTCCTCTCTTTTCTTTTACCTTCTTCTATTCTTTCTTTCTTTCTTTTCTTTCTTATGTTCTCCTCTCTTTTTTCTTTTACCTTCTTCTATTCTTTCTTTCTTTCTTTCTTTCTTTTCTTTCTTATGTTCTCCTCTCTTTTCTTTTATCTTCCTCTATTCTTTCTTTCTTTCTTTCTTTCTTTCTTATGTTCTCCTCTCTTTTCTTTTATCTTCCTCTATTCTTTCTTTCTTTCTTTCTTTCTTTCTTTCTTATGTTCTCCTCTCTTTTCTTTTATCTTCCTCAATTTTTTCTTTCTTTCTTTCTTTCTTTCTTTCTTATGTTCTCCTCTCTTTTCTTTTATCTTCCTCAATTTTTTTCTTTCTTATGTTCTCCTCTCTTTTCTTTTACCTTCTTCTATTCTTCTATTCTTTCTTTCTTTCTTTCTTTCTTATGTTCTCCTCTCTTTTCTTTTACCTTCTTCTATTCTTTCTTTCTTTCTTTCTTTCTTTCTTATGTTCTCCTCTCTTTTCTTTTATCTTCCTCTATTCTTTCTTTCTTTCTTTCTTTCTTTCTTATGTTCTCCTCTCTTTTCTTTTATCTTCCTCTATTCTTTCTTTCTTTCTTTCTTTCTTTCTTTCTTTCTTTCTTATGTTCTCCTCTCTTTTCTTTTATCTTCCTCAATTTTTTCTTTCTTTCTTTCTTTCTTTCTTTCTTTCTTATGTTCTCCTCTCTTTTCTTTTATCTTCCTCAATTTTTTCTTTCTTTCTTTCTTTCTTTCTTTCTTTCTTTCTTATGTTCTCCTCTCTTTTCTTTTATCTTCCTCAATTTTTTTCTTTCTTATGTTCTCCTCTCTTTTCTTTTACCTTCTTCTATTCTTTCTTTCTTTCTTTCTTTCTTTCTTATGTTCTCCTCTCTTTTCTTTTATCTTCCTCTATTCTTTCTTTCTTTCTTTCTTTCTTTTGTTCTCCTCTCTTTTCTTTTATCTTCCTCAATTTTTTCTTTCTTTCTTTCTTTCTTTCTTTCTTTCTTATGTTCTCGTCTCTTTTCTTTTATCTTCTTCTATTCTTTCTTTCTTTTTCATGTTCTCCTCTCTTTTTTTTTATCTTCCTCTATTTTTTCTTTCTTTCTTGTATTTCTCTTATGCTCTCCTGTCTTTTCTAAGTCTTTTCTTCCACATTTCTCTTTACAATCTTCATTCTTCCTGTTTTTTATACTCTCTAAACCAGAGTTTCTCAACCATTATTTTACTTCCGGGCACACTTATAGAATAACTAAATCTCTAGGGCGCCTATTAAATTTTAATAAGGAAAAATTAGCCCTGAAATCTGAAAATAGGAAAATAATAAAGAAGTTTCCCGAAATAAGCATTTATTTTTAAGACATTACATTGTATATTTAAGTATGCTTGAGTGAAACTTCTGTCTGATGTGCTTTGGTAAATTTTTTTTAAAAAAACAGGCTCATATGAAGTGCATTTTTCTAAATAAATAAAATTTGAAAAATAAATAAATTCCTTCCGGGTTTTTTTTTGGTTCCCTGAACCTTATTTTTTTCACTTGAGGACGCACTTGCAGACTAACTAAAATCTTTAAATTTTAATAAGGAAAAATTCATCATGAAATTTCAAAAGTCCTTGTGGTAACGTTGTTTTTTTTCCGACTGTTCATATCTATCTATCTATCTATCTTTATATATTACATATATATTGTGGTAACGTTGTTTTTTTTCCGACAGGAATATTCCTGTCGAAATTCAAATCTGAATTATTTCTAACAATCTACGATATAAGAACATCCCGGACAAATTACAAAAGACTACGATCAAATAGTAGATGAAAAGGCATTGGACGTCAAAACCTAATAGAAATCTTATCTAGCAAAAGATAATTCAATATAGAAGTCTAAGCCTCCAGTTTCAGACAAGAGTTTGTAAACAGTGTTGCAGTTAAGATTGACGCTTTATAACAATGATTCCCAACGATTTTTTTTTCCTTCAAGGCGCACTTATAGAATAACGAACTAAAATTCTGGGGAAAAACTAAAAATTTTAATAAGGATAATTATTCAGTAAATTTATAAATAGGAAAATAATAAAGAAGTCTCCTGAAATAAGCATTTATTTTTAAGACATTATACTGTATATTTAAATGGTATAGTTTTCATATAAAGGGATTTATAAAGAAACTGATTTTTTTTGTTGCCATATTCACGACGTTTCGGTTGTTGTACGATCAAGCTTTCTTCAGGTGATTGGAATTTCGAACTGAACCCTTTATTTTGTCCACCGGGGTATATTGTTTTATTTCCACGTGTCATGCCTCTTCCGCGTATCTCAGCATCAGTTATAAATAAAATCCACTAATTCCTTAGAAATTACTTAAAAATTAGAAATTTATAAAAATTTACAGATATGGGCTTCAGGTATCCGAATAAGAGATATTGATTTTCTAAGCGAGGCTTAGATGTGGCACAAGGCCGAAAGTATGTGGCACCCAGTGAGGATCGAACTCACTGTTCAGTTGTAACAAGACCAGGTTGCTAACATTACACCACGCCGAGGAGCCCTGTCCGAATAAGAGATATCTGTATGCGTTTTATTTATTTTTTGCTTCATTTTTTTAAAACGATTTTCACTCTGTAGAAGGCCCAAGAGTCACTCGAGGTAGAGAAAGTAAAATGATCATAATGTATTTTTTTTCTTTTTTTCTTTCGATCACTGATCTAGGCAAGAACTCGACTGAAGTTCGAGCACAGACCCCCCCCCGATTTCAAATTCCGTGCCGTTACACCACTAGCACACCCAAGCTTACACAAAAAGAAAAGAAAAAACGAACATCACATAATTGTATCCCCAAGCTGTCACTCATCTAGGTTAAGCAACGCCGAGCCTTCAATATGTTCCGTGAGTGTTAAATTTTCCAAGCACGCTTTCCTCGTGTATCACAGTATTTTCAGCCTAACTTTTCTGGTTTTAAGCATCTGTTTCCTGTACCTTTAACAGATCTATCGTTTAGCTGGTCACATTCAATGTCTCGAACACTGAACTAGTGACGTTCCGTCATTTCCGAACGAACTCTGAATTTTCACCTATGGCTGAATAAATGATCTAATCCCTGTACCACTCTAAAAAGTACCTGACTCCTCTCGCAATGGTCTTACAAGTCAGATCAGACCAAAAATAAAGTATTAGTGGTATCTTGGCTGAAGCTACACAGTCTTCACTTTCCAGTCTCACCCGCGCTCAAAAGGATTTCTGCCGTTTTGTGAGTAATGAATTGTTTTCGATCCTTCAACTTCTACTGATCTTTTGACGGCTTGCTCGGGCGAAATGATTCCTTTTGTTCCACCTGTACAGACCCTTATATATAGGATCCGTCATGCCTTGTACAGTCATTATCATTGCCTTAATATTCCAGTGCTAAGGAGTAAGTTCCACTCAGCTTCTTTCTCAGAACCGTTGCATTGTGGAACATACTCTCGAGATGATACTACCTTGATCAATAAAATGATAGATATCCAGTCCAGATAGGATCAAAATATGCAACAGTTTCTCCCTCTCTATACGCACTTAAAACATCCCCATTCTGTAACCCTCTACCTTAAGTGACACTTGGGCCTAGTATTTAAGAAACAATACTTTATTACACCACTAATAAATGATGGTAAATCTAGTTCTCGTGGAATAATATCACTGTCGGAGGTAAATAAATAAAATAGAGAAAACGCACTCTTCAAGTGAAAAGCAAATTATTTGTGACTTTCACTTTGTTATGAGACTTTGTGCAGTAGCAACGAAAGTGGGGTTAGATTTCTGGTCGGATAAGTATAGAGATTTTAACCTCGTTTTGGTGTGAACAAAATGTCTGCCACGTCTCGGTATTGTAATTGTTATCGCTTTCTATAAAGTGAATTTCGTTTTTTCTTTTCTTTTTTGTGGCCATTATGCCAGAATCAGCTGCAGGCGAACCGAAATGTTGCAGAATATCTGAAAGAGTATAGAAATCATGATTCAAGCCCTCATATATATATATATATATATATATATATATATATATATATACATACATACATATTATATATTTATATGTGTGTGTGTAAATATAAACTAAATAACGAGATATTAGCAACTGTATATGCGTGCGAATGTGTGTGTGTGTGTGTGTGTGTATGTATATATATCCACTCCTCAGTTTTTGAACTTACTATTACAAGAGCGTCTACTATTGGGAGGAGGGAGAATCTGATCAGTTATTTGATGGCTTGAAGCTTGAATGGCTTTGTGTGGAGTCTTCCATCGCATAAAAAAATGAAAGGACCACTGTTGGTTATATCTTCATTTCTTAACACTTATCTCCCTACCCAATGTCTTCTATCAGTTTTTATACGTTTCTTTGCCTAATCACCAAGGTGGATAATAAAATGATCAAAGTCGATAAACCAATTCAGAAATCGATAAGCCAATTCAGAAGTCGATAAATCTATTCAGAAGGCGTTATTTTGGATGTACAACTCGAACTGCATTCATTAGGACAGATATTTGTGATGTAACGTCAATTA